GCTGACAAGAACATAAATTTTGCTGTGCAGCTGCAGGCTCCCAGAAGACTTTGATTCAGGAAATGCCATCTGCTGGTATTGTAAAAACCGTAGAATTTTTTATGCTTTTTTTTTTTTATTTGGTCTGAAATAATAAGTCATTTCATAAAATAAATCTTTTTCTTTTTTTTGGTTCAGCTGCAGAAGAAATAAGGGGTGTGTAATTTTAAGATATACTATTGGTTATTGTGAACTTATTAATAACTTGACACCTTTTTTTTTTTTTTTAGTATAGTAGCATCTAGCAGCATCCGTGAACTCTGTCTGTCCTCACACCTTCTCTGTCTAGCTAAAAAGGCTAATTTATTCCCCCAACAAATGAGGTGGAATAGAACAACTTGATAGCGTGGTACTTCAAGTAACCATGTAGTTATTTAAGCTGTAACTGAGCGTTCACTTTTTTCCTTCACACTTCTTGACACGTAGCTGCAAGTAAGTTGGAGGCAGTGACAGGGCGCCAGCTGATGCCACAGAGACAGCTCTTTTTGGTGCCGGTTACACTGATGAAGAATATGATGTTTCAATCCATCTAAGTTTCTGAAATCACGTAGCTCAGGATTTTTTTTTTTTTCCCCTGGCCTTTCATGTGGTGTCAGTAGCTCACAGCTAGTGGTTTCCAGAATATAACCGTGTAGGAAAATCCTGCTGCAAGCCTGCCTTCCTCTGGCGTGGGTGTGGTGAGTCACCAGCACCTTGCTGAGCCCAGCAGAAGGTACGAGGCTGGGAGGCTGGCTGCAGTCCCCGACCGGGGCCGGCGGTGGAGCAGAGCTCCGGCGCCTGAGCTCACGGTGGGACTTGCCGCGCCGATGCTGTCGGTAAGCTGTCCCGCCTCAAGTGCGTGGCTAGGAAAGGGGTGAACCTGCATGACAGAGCTTGGGCACGGCTCCAGCACCTGAGTCTTGTCTAGCCACTTAATCTCCCTATAGAAAACCAGTCGTTCTGTATTCTCATAAATATTGTTCTCTTTAGCAAAGCTGGAAACCTGGGTTTTGGGGGGGACGAGGGAGGGTATTGTTTTTCATTATTTTCCTCTCTGTCTCGGTTAGCTAAACATTCCTAGCCAGTTATTCATTAAATTGGGCCACACCTTACGTTTTTCTGATTGAGATTTGGTGAACAGAAATAAAGACCTGAATAAATGTAGATTTATTTCTGGTTTGCCTTGATTTTTTGAGTTGCTTGTTGTTTTCCCTTCATGTTGTGAGAGCCCTTTGTACTTTGCTTCTGGAAGACTTGCAGCCTTTGCAACGCTGTTGTGCTTTGCAGTGGCTTTTCTATTTAAAACAAAAACTTTTGTGGTTGGGGACAAGATCACAAAAAAAAACCCCAGCTCAGTGAAGCTGGTCTTTCTGAGTCTGCTGAATGTATGAAATGCACTGAATTGTGTACAGAAAAACACTAGGAAATGTCAACATGGCTAAAATGTCAGTAGTGCAATAGTGAACAGAAGCAGGAAGCTAGCTTGCCTGCCCAGTTATCTTGCACTGCTTCCTTTACCTCTGTGGTGCCAAAAAATACCCCACCCAGTATTCTGCCTAGCTGCTGAAACACCTACCCTTGCTGACCACGTTTACCCTCTGACAATATAATTTGCACAAATACCTTTCAGCAGAGGCAATGATGGAAATACAGGCAGAGCAGGCATTTAGTATAGATACAGAAGATACAGACTATTTAAAGGATAGTTAAACTGAGTAATTCTATATCTGAGCATCTATTAAAAGTAGAACAAGAACTTGCTTCTGAGGGTCTTAGGCTAATTGTTTTCAATTTAATGTAACTTGCAATCCTCCAAAGTTCTCTGTTAGAAGAGTGGAAGACTTCAGCAGTCTGCATGTATAATGTTAAAGAAGAGCACCATGTGGAGAAGCTTTTCCTCACCATACGTTGCCAGCTTCCTTATTTTAGGTGTAGTCCATGGCTTTCGCTGTCTGGGGCCCGTGGGGCAACATCAGTCTCAGTCTGTCATACCGCAGTTAGTAAATCTGGCATAAATCCACACGACAGCCAAAAAAGGCAGCAGTCCCCGCTTATTTCTTTCTCCTCCCTTGTCCTATCTCTCACGTTTGTGTGGCTATATGGTGAACCAGTTGAGGGGAAACTGATGCTCTTAAACCTTTTTATTTACTTGTTTTTATTGGATTAGCTTTCAGTCAATTGATTCCTTGGTCTGGTTCACTGTGCAACCACGCGAACTTGGTTTGCGGCACGAGTGCTAGCATCAGCTCAAGGCACAGGAGGAAATGGGAAGCTGAAGTAGTCTTGGACCATCCCTCTACTTGAATTTAATGTGCGGTGGCATTTGTATCAGCTATATGCTTATTCTGTGTGCATGTACGCACTTGCGTGTGTGCACAGGCTTCATATGGGTAACGTGCTCTTGCTGAGGATGTTTAGGATGCTTATGCAGAAATGAGACACAAACAGTGAAGCTGAAGCACGCTGGAGGCAGCAGGAAAGTTAGGAAGGCAGGAACGCCATGCAGGGACATACAGGAGGTGGCATTTGTAAGAAAAGTCTTGGAGAGTTAGCTTGGAGGTGACACTTAGAATTTGTAGAAATGAGGCAGTATGCCTCTCAAGATACCTTGCAGCCTTTTGAAAGTTTAAGTCCTAGTTAATGGCAATTTTAACCTGACCACGTTTGAGTAGGAGTTACTGCACTTAGTTTCCAGTGTCTGGTGGTCAACTTCATCCTCCTGCAGGTTGTTTCCAGGCACCTGAAGGACAAGATCAACTGAGGGCAAATTCTGCCTGGCCAACCCAATTGCCTGCTAAGATGAAACGACCACCTCAGCAGACAAGGGAGACCATTGTTTGTGGTTTACCTTGACCTTAGCAAGGCTGTTGGCACGGTCCCCCGCAGCATCCAAATAGCCAGACTGGGGAGGTGCCAGCTGGTTGGTGGAGAAGTGGCTGGGCTGTGAGATACATGGGGTAGTAGTTAATGGCTCAGAAGTTGCTGGGTGCATGGTTACCAGAGGCATTGCTCAGACGTTGATAATGGGGCTGGTGTGGGTTAACATCTTATTTACAACCTTGATGAGGGGGCAGAGTGCACTGTCAGCAAGTTTGCGTGGGATGTCAAATTGGGAAGGGAGGAAGAAGCAGTTGATGTGTTGGAGGGCAGGGCTGCCTCTCGGATGATCAGCCTAGGGGCATGGGCTGGCAAATGTTGTCCAGTTCAGCAAAGGAAAAGTGAATTGAGAACTGGCTGAACGGCAAAGAAGGTTGTGATCTGTGGCACAGAGTCTAGTTGGAGGCCTATATCTAGCGGTGTCCCCCAGGGGTCAATACTGGGTCCAGTCTTGTTCAACTTATTTTATCAAGGACCTGGAGGAAGGCACAGAGTGCACCCTCAGCAAGTTGCTGATGATACAAAGCTGGGAGGAGTGGCTGGTACCCCAGAGGGCTGTGCTGCCATTCAGAGGGACCTGGACAGGCTGGAGAG